TTATTGAGCCATCGACTAATCCGGATTTGAGTCGGGCAGGATTCAATGGACAACAAAACTCTTTCTCATAAGTTTTAACGGAGCTGCATTTCCAAGACTTGAACTCAAACCCTCTGGTTAAACTAAAAAAGTCCCAACCAACTCATGTTATATGTATAATGAAAAAAAAAAAAAAAACCCTACTCATGGATAAATAAGTATACTAGTACTTTCTTTGACAAGGATAATTTTACATGCTTGAATTGTTATCTATCGGCTAAATAACCATAACTGAGTACAACCTTTTTTTTGAGGCTTAATTCCACATTTTAATGGTAGGAGTTTAATCCTATGGTCTCCGCCTTACTCTCTTTTCTCACAAGTCACAATCTTGAATCTTTTGCTTTAATATAGTAAGAAAATACGACTTTTTTCTTAGAAGTTTATAACTATTTATACTCACGTTGAATTTGAATGGGAAAAGAGAAATTATATGTAGCAACCATAAAAAAATAATAAATTCAAGAGTAACAAGAAAAAAAAAAATTTTATGTCAGATTATGAATTATACAATAACGACGCACTCTTTTTTTTTTTCAAATTACCTATCATCAATTTTAAAATTTAAATTTAAAATTTTCAATATAATTAAAAACCCAAATTCTTAATTATTAAACATCCTTTATAACACAAAGAAATAAAAAATACTAAATCTCACTTACTCTTATCCTTTTTTCATTCAGTCTTAAAATAAGTAGATGTTTTGTTACTTTTTTTTCTTATTCCAAAATAATAGTTTTAAAAAAATTTTAGCTAGAACTAACAATTATGGATTGGTAAACAATTTTTATTTTTAATACTAGTAAAAGGAAAAGTAGATAAATAACCAGGGTAAAAATATAGCAGAGGGTCGTAAGCCATTCACGTACGGAAGTGGGAACGAAACCCATGCCCTTTTCCGGTTTTCCCTCCTTATAGCTCCCTCCTTGTTCTATATATCTCCCCAAGACTCCATTGAACCATTGTGGAGAGTAGAGACCAGAAATCAGCATTACGAAAAAAAAAACAAAAAAAGAAAAAAGGATTTCTTCTTCTTCCTGTATAAATCCCTTCGAGTTGTGTTAGAGAGGGGTATTTTTTCGGGTCCAGCAAAGGTATATATATTTTTTCTGGTGTCGAATCTACTGATGGTTTGAGATGACTGGATTATAAATCAGTTGTTTCATGGATTGTTTTTGGATTCTGATTTTCCTTTTCAATTTTTTATTTTTTGGGATCTTTAAGAATGCTCTGTTTCTTAAAAATCTAAAGCTACATCCCTTTTGCTTATTGTCTGTCCGAAAATGGATTTTCAACAACTGAAAGAGAAAAGATTTTGGATTTTTCAGAATCCAAGGATCTTCAAGTTTGTACAAAATTGCGAAGTTTTCAAGAGCAGTCCCTTTCTCTTTATTTAATTGCATGAAAAAGTAGTGGCTCTTTTTCTTTTAATGACAAGGGAAAAGGAACGAAGAGCGAAAGAACCTTTCCATGAATCCATGTTAATTTTTACTAATCTTTATCATTGAATACTGTTGGTTGTTGCTACCTTCATCTATTGCTGATTTTGTAATTTAGTTTCACTTCCCAGGGCCTTTGGTCCTCAACTTTGAAAATCATATTTACCCACAAGTACGGAAAATGACTGCTTTACTTTTCTCTTAATTTATTTTTGGGTGGAAATTTGTTTTAAACACGAATAATTTTAAAAGTAATCTGTACTTTTTATTTATTTTTTTTTTATTGGGTGGTAATAGTGATCATTCTTACTAGATCATTTTTGTTTCTTGCACCTCCACAAGTTTAACAGTCCTCCACTCATCTTTGATCCCATATAATGTCATCCATAAATCTTGAAAATATCTTAATTTTGAAATATGTCAAATACGCAGGGGAAGAGGGAGGAGGTGCGAGAAAATTTTTTAAATTGGTACGCACATTTTTTTTTTAAAACCTTTTAAAGTTTTTAATTATTATATTTTTCATGTGAAATTTTAAGTTATTATTATCATTTAACTCTATATAATATTTCATACTTAATTACTCAAGATTAAAATATTTATAATATTTTTATTATAACCACAATTTCAATTTTCAAATATGAAGAAAACATTAGAATTTAATTATTTATTTTAACAAGTGATTTGTTTAACAAAAACTTTAGTATATAAAAATATTTAAGTCTGTTTAGTCAATGATTTTGGTTTCTAAGTAATAAATTAAATATTTTCTCTTTCATATTGTTTAGTTCTTTGGATGAAAAAAGATAACTTTTAATAAACAAATTAATAAAAAAAATTAAGATAGCTCGGGATTGAAAGAGTAGGATTTTGAAATCATTTGAATTAATTGATCAATTATTTAAGTATTACCATAGTAAGGCATTATTTCTTATTTTAATAAAATGATTTATTTAATAAAAGATTATTAAAGATATGGGAATAAGAAAATATATTATAATCTTAATTTTATCAAGATTCTAAGATGATATCAATGAAAAAGACAATCAAAATTAAAATTCTTTATGAAAAGTTAACTAGTATCCTAAAAGACTTTTAAAACTAATTGTCAATAAAGAATTTCGCCTCCTAACTCAATTTTCTGGCTACGCCCCCTGCATTCACGTGTTGGTATCTTTCTTGTGATCTAATTTTGCAGGGGATCTCTACTCTCTAGACATGGCAAGGGATCAATTGCAAGTGCTTAATGCACTTGATGCAGCCAAAACACAATGGTACCATTTCACAGCAATTATAATTGCTGGGATGGGATTATTCACTGATGCATATGACCTCTTTTCCATTTCTCTGGTGACCAAATTGCTTGGCCGCATATACTACTACAAGGAGGGTGCTACTTCACCTGGCAGTCTTCCTTCAAATGTAGGATCGGCTGTTACTGGTGTTGCCTTATGTGGTACCCTTGCAGGCCAGCTTTTTTTTGGCTGGCTTGGTGACAAGATGGGCCGGAAACGTGTTTATGGCCTGACCCTTATGCTTATGGTAATTTCATCAGCTGCCTCAGGCCTTTCCTTTGGGAAAGACGCTAAAGCTGTTATGGCAACACTCTGCTTCTTCCGGTTCTGGCTTGGTTTTGGCATTGGTGGTGACTACCCTCTTTCTGCTACAATTATGTCCGAGTATGCTAATAAAAAGACTCGTGGAGCTTTTGTTGCTGCCGTGTTTGCCATGCAAGGTTTCGGGATTTTGGCCGGGGGGATGGTTGCAATTATAGTTTCTGCGGCTTTCAATAACGGATACCCTGCACCAACATATGAGAAGGATGCTGTTGGATCAACTGTGCCTGAAGCTGATTATGTTTGGAGAATAATTTTGATGTTCGGCGCAATCCCAGCTTTACTGACCTATTACTGGCGTATGAAGATGCCAGAAACTGCACGATACACTGCCTTGGTGGCCAAGAATGCAAAACAGGCTGCAGCTGATATGTCAAAAGTTCTTCAGGTTAATTTACAGGAAGAACAGCAGAAAGTTGAACAGAAAAAAGGTGTTGATTATGGTTTGTTCTCTTCACAATTTCTCCACCGCCATGGACTCCACTTGCTTGGTACCACCACTACATGGTTCTTCTTGGACATTGTCTTCTACAGCCAGAACCTTTTTCAGAAGGACATTTTCACTGCAATTGGTTGGATTCCAGAAGCAAAAACTATGAATGCCCTTGAAGAGCTTTACAGAATTGCTAGAGCACAAACCCTCATTGCACTATGCAGCACTGTTCCGGGGTATTGGTTCACAGTGGCATTGATTGATAAGATAGGGAGGTTCAAAATTCAACTGATCGGCTTCTTCTTTATGACTGTCTTCATGTTTGCCTTGGCTATCCCTTACCATCACTGGACTCTACCAGACAACAGAATTGGCTTCGTTGTCATGTACTCCCTTACGTTTTTCTTCTCAAATTTTGGTCCAAATGCCACCACCTTTGTAGTCCCTGCAGAGATTTTCCCAGCAAGGCTGAGATCAACATGCCATGGAATATCAGCTGCATCAGGCAAGGCTGGAGCTATTGTCGGTGCATTTGGCTTTGTGTATGCTGCCAATTACATTGGAGTGAGGAAGACACTTATAGCGTTTGCTGTGGTCAACCTCCTCGGATTGTTGTTCACATTCTTGGTGCCTGAAGCCAAAGGAAAATCCCTGGAAGAACTTTCAGGTGAAGCTGAGGATCAAAATGAAACTGAAACACAATCAGGAAATGTTTCAGTTTAATTAGGATACATCATTTATAAATCTACATTTCCCACACATATTATGCCTAAATAAACTTTTCGTGATCCTCCCTTAGAAATAATGACCTCAGAATGTTCCTTTTCTTTTTAGCTTAAACTATTATGTCTTTCATATAGCTCTATCAGGTTACGCTGCCTTTAGATTTCTCATGTAAATACTGAGGTTTTATTTTTATGAATATAAATCCGAAGCTCTACCATATATATGCATAAATATATCTCTTCTGTTATTATAACATTACAAGAATGCATGTGAGGACGTTTCTTGAACTTAACATGCTTGAGATGTCTCACTTTATTGCAATGTATTGATTGCTTTGATGGCCTGAAATTAAAACTGTAAGAGGATCCATTTGATTCACATCAATGTTTTTCACACATTTGGGCTAAATAAAAGTGTTATCCGTTGAACTCTATTGGGCAATGAACTTTCAAGGAGGTTGTATTGAAGAATATAGCTCTCCTTGGCTTCATGTACGGCATAAAGCAGTAAGGAGAGGAAAGAGCTTTTTCATTGTTCTGCCTCTCTCCTTTCTTTGAACAAATTGGTCCCTTAAGCTTTGTAGGTTATTTCAGTTTTCACATTGCAATTAGTAATAAAAAGAAAATTTTAAGGTTTATGGCCTCATTTCTTTAGTATATGCACATCTTTTCATCAGATAGCTTTCTCCTTAAACTATTTAAACATCCACAATGCCAATTTAGTGAGATAATATCCCCAACAATTATACAAGGGAAAGAAGAGATATCATGGGCTGCTACGATACATGAATTCATTAAACCATTCTTAATGGACAGAACCAGTAGTGTTTTATTCATAGCAACTAAACCAAATAGTTAAGCCCAGTGGCCGACCAAGAACAAGCGAAAGAGAAAATTTTCTTGAAATCAAACCCTCAACCAACCCAACAGAGCTAAGGGCAGGCGGGTAACTCCATTTGTTTTCTGTTTCTTTTTTTTTTCATCAAACTCACTTCTTTTAACAATCAACCAACCCAATAGAGCTATGGACAGGCCGGCAACACTTATTTTATTTTATAGGAAAATGTTCATGTGCTTTGCTCTCTCCATTTTAAAACAACTGTAATTTTTAAATTTTTTTTAGTGTTTTCTCAAATAAAAGATTTGGGGGGTAGTATTAGTATGTATCTATACAACTCTTTGAAAAATATATAAAAATATATTTTTAATGATTAGATGATTAAATAAAATAAATAAACAATGACAAGGTTAAAGTAGAAAAAATATTTATTTATCTTAAAAATAAAAAAA